AATTTTCTGTCTGCACTGATGGCTTACTCTCATTTATTTCTATTTGAGTAGTATCTTTTTCCATTATTATAACATCTCTGCTAGTACATATTTTCCTGGTTTCTGGATTGTACAGTCTGTAACCTTTAACATTATCAGCGTATCCCACCAATATATACTTTACTGCTTTCTTGTCCCACTTCAATCTTTTAGTCTTAGGAACATGCATCATTACCGGGCTCCCAAATATTCTGACATGACTGACATCAGGCTTTTTTCCTGTCCATATTTCAATCGGTGTCTTTTGGTCCAAACCTGAAGCCGGCGACCTGTTTTTCAAGTATACTGCCGTATTTACAGCTTCTGCCCAAAAATGTTGTTTCTAGTTTGGCCTCGAACAACAAACATCTTGCACGTTCAACAATTGTCCTGTTAAAGCGCTCACTGAGACCATTCTGCTCTGGAGTATACGGGTTGGTCTTTTGATGGATAATCCCACATTCCTTGAGATAACTTTCCATTTTATCTGAGCAGAACTCCCCCCCATTGTCGGTTCTCAATACCTTGATATTTGTTCCTTTTTGATTCTCAATCAATTTTTGAAACTCCTTGAAACACTGTAGGGTCTGATTCTTCTCCTTTAAAAAGTATACAAATGCCATCCTGCTAGCATCGTCAACAAACAATAGAAAGTATCGAGCCTGTCCAATAGATCGAACCTCCATAGGTCCACACAGATCTGAATGAACTACATCTAGAATGTTGGTACTTCTATGATAGCTAAGTTGAAATGGTAAACGGGTCTGTTTACCCTCGCAGCATACTTGACAATTTGCTTTCTGAAGATCAGCCTTTGTATCAAATGACATACCTTCTACAGCACCGTTTCTCATTCTTTGTAAATCATTACTGTTAAGGTGTCCCAATCTTCTATGCCACCGTTCTGCGTCAGTAGTTTGAACTGCAGCTGCCAACACTTTCTCTGACTTTAGAGTATTCAACTTATACACACCATTCTGTAAATTCGCTATACCTATAAGTTCATTCTGTTGATTGTGTATAAAACAAACATCACTTTTAAAGGTAACTTTGTTTCCTTTGGCGATCAACTGGCTTACAGATAGTAAGTTAGTAGTTAGGTTTGGTATGTATAAGATATTGTTTACTTTGATGTCAAACTGAGAATTATTTACTAGTGTAGTAATCTGTGTATCACCGGCACACAAAACTGGCACAGTCTGATTATTCGCAACCACTATTTTCTTTGTATCATGTACTTTTCTCACTTGCATTAAGTTTTCTTTGCTTGATGTCATATGAGCACTCGCCCCTGAATCGATATACCAGTCTTCTTTGTTAAATTCACTATTGAAAAATGCAGCACTGAATGCGTTCACTTGTTTTTCTTTCAGTTCAGGACACTGGTTTTTAAAGTGGCCAGTTTTCTTGCACTTGTAGCATTTAATAACCTTTTTGACATTTGACGTACTACTTGACCTCGGAACAATAACTAGACATGGAAGCCAGGCTAAAATAGCAATTTACAAACATATATCTGATGCTCTCACTCTTTACACGATTTTGCGTAGGCGAGAATGAGACCGCAAACTGAACATAGTTCTGATAATTTGCAGGTTGTCACAACTTTCAGTGGACTCATTACAATCTTATGTCATTGGACTCATTCAGCATACTACCAAATTCAAAATCACGTTTTGACGTTCTATGTTTCATAGTTTCACTCAAGTTTGACACCTTCCTCACTTTGCCGGATTATAGTACTGAAGTGTCACCGTGGTTGTATTTACGGCTCCTGATAATAAAGAATATTTTCTAAGGAATTAGCGCAAAAGAAAGGAAGAAAGAAAGTGTACGGTCGTTCTTTATTATGTGTTTTACTTAATAAAAATACGTCTTGTGTGTTTGACGGCTGCAATTCACATTTAGGAAGAAAAGAAAACAGTGGTGAAAAAATTCACTTTCATTCGTAACTTTTTGATATGTTTTAAAATAAATTATACTGGAAATACCGGTAAACTATAAATAAATGTTACTTATTATTGTCGTACTTTTCAATTGTAAGCCTAAACAGTATTATTCCATCTTTTCCTAAAAAATCTAAATCAAGTTTCTAAGTTAGTTTTTAAGCTAGTGATGTGGTCATGTTACATATCGACATTTTAGTTAGGCTTTGAAGTTCTTTATAGTATAGACGCCGTTTAGAGCCCGAATCACATGATACTTTTGATGATATGACAGAACACGACTACATTTTGTACCCATCATCTATTACGGAATATTCTAAGAATGTCATAGAATACATAATCGGCTTTATCGGAACGAAATTAAAAAATCTTTACAATGCGAAAAATGCATAGAAATACGGAGAGTACTCCTTAAAGATCTTTGATATCTTTAAATATACAGGAGGCCTATTTAAACCAACATATGGCTTAACCAAGATCTGTCAACTGTCCGAAAAAAATTATAAGAGAATATCAAGTGCATATTGATTCAAAATCTCTCGGTAAACCAAAATAATTATTAGATTGATTAATAAAGTTTCAGCAAATGTGTTGCTGTCAAAAAATTTTCGTGAAAAAAAAGATTATTCATTAGAACAATCTTTCTATGATGATCACAGAAATCTTATAAAGTCCATAGCACAAAAATATTTTAAACTTAGGATACATTATGTAACTAAAAATTTGACTGTACCTACCTACCGAAAAAATTCGCACATATTTAACAAAGACAATTATATTTAAATTTAAAAGTCAATGATAAACACATAATAGTACACCACTACCACGGTTTGTAAATATGCTTTGTTTGTGAGCAATTAAATTATCTTTTTAATATTGTGTTTTATTTCTGAACCCACGAAATCCAGATTAAGAGCCTAATGTTCGTTAAATCACAGCAGCAATACTTTCAGGTACCAAATTTTGTCGATAAAATATATTAATATATTCCCATCACTAGCATATTTACAAGTAGTGACAACCCGCATAATAACGAAACGAAACAATACACATGTCTCTTTCTTATACACTATCAATACCATAAGTAAAAAAAAGATGAATATATGGATTGTAGTTGTTATTTTAGCCTGGCTTCCATGCTTTAGTTATTGTTCCGAGTACTTGACGTTTGTTTCCCGCCTTTTGTGTTATAGTTACCCGCCGTTTTTTGTTTCGACCACAATGCTACTTTCGAATCATGGTCATCAATTTCAGGACTCATATCAAGCAATTTAGTTTTGATGACATCAGAATTTATAGCTATGCCAGAATGCTCAATTGCCATTATCATTGGAGCAAACTTTTCTGGCAGCCCCGCTAACAGCAATGATCCTATCCATTCTTCATTAATCTCAAATCCAGTACCTTTTAGTCTTTGTGCAGTTTCTACTATTTGACTCACGTAACTTGTCATGCTTTCACAATTATCAAGTCGAATGGATATCAATGTTCGAAGTAAACCGATTTTCCTTGTGAATCCGCTGTCGTCAAATAATTTCTGTAGTTTTTGCCATAGGTTTTTGACGTTGGTTTCATTTTTGATATGCACATATAATGTAGGATCAATGGTCATAATGAGTTTTGCTTTAGCTTTTCTGTCTTCTGCATCACTTAAATCGGCCGGAATGGCGTCGATGTCAAGGCCTTCCAAGATGAGAAACTTGCCGCAAACGCCCAGTCGTCGTAGTTCTCCCGTCCTCTTAATTTCGGAACGCTCACTAAGTAACTTCCTAACGACATGATGACTAATTTGCTGTATTTAGATACGAATAGACTACTTTTTATTACAAAAAATGTTGCACTGGGCCCATAACCTAATAAAACGAATAAATTGCAGGTTGAGAATAGACAATTTATTTAATACTTCTATTATCTATGTAAACTAGTACACACATTTGACACTAGAGGGAGCTAGTATGATGATAGTAATATTATTTTGATACAACTGAAATGCATATTTTAACAATTATCACGCTATCACCTACTGAGGAGGGGCTGTGAATCACTATTTCACGCGAACGAAGTCGAAGGCACAACTAGTAATATCTAAATCGGACTAAACAAAAAAAAGTAAATAAAAAACCAAAAAGCAAAAAATAAATTACTAAATATGCAATTTATAATACTTTTAATTTACTACTTACTATGTAATTAATAAAAAAACTATTATTTTCTTAACTAACTAGTCTAACTACTGCTTGGTTTGAAGTCGGTGCCAAGCCACTGTGCCCACAGCCCACAGTATTATGTACTTTGTATCAGACCAACAAAATAGTAATTAGCACCATCTGTCATGCAAAAGGAATATCACATGTCATAACATGTAGCATACTACGTTCACTAGATGGCGTTGTCGCGTGACGTCATTTTCTGAATCGCGGTGTTAAGATTCTCCATGATTTGATGAGGTCAACTGACATTTCATCGCCAGTTGCATTCGTTTTCTAAATATTTGATGCGTACTTGAGGTTTAAAAGTATTGTTCGTGTGCAGTGGCTGATATCTCATTGTCAATTATTATCATTGAAATTCGAAATTCATTAAAAGAGCATTCTCCATACTATTTTCATTTAAAAGGTCCTTTTCAAGACCAATATTATATTATTGTAGTGTAGAATAGGGTAGAAGTAGTTAGTTCTGGTTAAGAGTTTTATCAGTTAGAGTTGTCACGTAGCTTGTGCTGGAATTTAATGTTGATTATTCCAAGTATAATTATTTTGTATTTATATAAGTTAGTTTAATTCATCACGCTTGGCACCGACTTCAAACCAAGCAGTAGTTAGACTAGTTAGTTAAGAAAATAATAGTTTTTTTATTAATTACATAGTAAGTAGTAAATTAAAAGTATTATAAATTGCATATTTAGTAATTTATTTTTTGCTTTTTGGTTTTTTATTTACTTTTTTATTTACTTTTGAAGTCGGTTTTTTTTTTGTTAAAAGTTATTTTATTTCACAATTTTAAGTGATGGGTAGACCAAGCAAGGATGCTTCTCGAATGAGAAGACGTCGATTCCTTGAAACGAAAGATGATAGACGGAAACGATTAGACAAAATTAAAATACATGCTAATAAGAAGAGAGAAAATGAAACACTAGAGGAACGTAAAAAGAGATTGTCGGCTATGAGAGCTTATGTATCAAAAAGACTAACGAACGAAAGTCAAGAAGATCGTACTCACCGGCTCAGTTTGATCCATGAACGCTTATCAAACGAGACTGATGAAGCCCGTACTCAACGGCTCAGTTTGATCCATGAGCGCTTATCAAACGAGACTGATGAAGCCCGTACTCACCGGCTCAGTTTGATCCATGAGCGCTTATCAAACGAGACTGATGAAGCCCGTGCTCACCGGCTCAGTTTGATCCATGAGCGCTTATCAAACGAGACTGATGAAGCCCGTGCTCACCGGCTCAGTTTGATCCATGAGCGCTTATCAAACGAGAACGATGAAGCCCGTGCTCACCGACTCCGTTTGATTCAAGAGCGACGATCAAATGAATCTGCTACACAACAATCTCAACGATTAAGTTACTTACGTAACAGTTCCGCACTAAGGGTACTTAATGAAACTCCAGAAGAAAGGGCCAGTCGATTGACTGTTCTAAGACAAGTATCAAGTCGCTTGAGAAATACTCGTATATTAGGAGTTGAACAATTTCGAGCGGCAATTAATGTTTTCGCAGATTTACCATGTGCTATATGTAAAAAAATGCTTTATCCACAACAGCGTATTAATTTACGCCCGGCAGCATTCAGTTCTATACTACCTTCAGAATTAATCACAGCTGATAGGATAATAACGTGTTGTCGATGCTCTAATACTTTGAAAAAACGAAAAATTCCATCTCAAGCCTATTGGAATAATATGGTTGTTGCAAATGTGCCACATGAATTAGCAGACTTAAACGAAACGGAAAAAAGATTTCTATGCAGAGTAGTGCCATTTATTAAAATAATAAAATTACAGAACCGATTAAGCCAAGATTGGTGTAAAGGTCAAGCAGTCTTATTTGCCAAAGATGTCGTAGAGTTAGCCGAACAACTACCACTTCACCCAAACCAGGCTGGATTAATACTAATTATAGAAAGCTTAGAAAACATTCAACGTTCTAAAGAATTCGTGGTTGATATTGATAAATTAAAAATTGCATTAAGTTGGTTAATGTCTAACAATGTTCTTTATAGGGATGTTCGACCTCATTTTAGCAATGCTATTGATATTTCGGAATCAATACAGGTGACGGGTGAACTACCCGATCATGAAGAAGAACCTGTAGCAGCAATAAGACCAACTAGAAATATTGACAATTTTAAGCATTTAAATGATGATATAAGTATTTTGCGTGGTTCATATCATCAAGGTGATGCTAGATTCAGTTCCGAATCTCAGGGCAGACAATGTACTGCTATTGCAACAGTTTCTTGTGTGGCTTTTCATCTCATTGATCCAAACTCATTGTGCCAAAGTGATATAGACTACATTTTGATTATAGGTGACAAATATTATTGTGATTGCATAGCAACTCGACCTAATATTGATGATTCAAACTCGGAGTATTTAGCAGCTACAGAACTTTTGCCATATATAACATTTAATAGACAACAAGTCAACATTACCGGTTATGAGCAACCTATTTATAACGGTCATTTAGTAAATGACGACAGCGAAAATTCTTTCCCCAATTTAAAAAATGCTCTGAATAGATTCTTTAATGAACATTCGTATGGTTTGATAACCTCTAATCTCACAACAGTAGCTGTGCATTGCAAACGTGAATTAGAATCTGTTACGTATTTTTTGTTTGATTCTCACGCACGTGGTGCTAAAGGTTTTAAAGCCCCATTACACGGAACAGCTTGTTGTATGAGATTTAAAAATATTGATAGTTTATATAACGTTTTGCGTAGGAATTTGACTGTTAAAAATTCTTCTAATCCATACACATTAAATGTTTATTCATTGACAGCACTTTTTTTAACATTAGTATCATGCATTGACAATCAACCTGAACCTAATACAAACAATAGCGTACCGATATCAAACTCTACAATTCAGGCTGGTGAACATGCGTTACAACGACCACGAAATTTGGAATCTACAATGTTAATAGAGACTACCAGTATGCTTTGCGGTGTTGAAGAAACAGTGCCGGCCTTAGAAAGTGTTGTGGATTTCAATAATGTAAATTCAGTAACTGAGTTGAGATTAGCCGAAATTAAGAGAAAAACTGCGCCACCGCTGAATTTTGAACGAGAGCGTCGACTAGAAGAGCTGGCCTGGTATTTTCTTTTCCCAGATGGTAAAAATGGACTCCATGAGGAAAGAAATATACCTATCACCCCATTAGATTACTTTCAGAGCCGAATAATGTCTAATGACAGACGATTTCATAGAAACGATTATTTATTTTATGCTTTATCAGTTGTTGAATATTACAGAGCAAAGTCAAGCATTTCTGTGTCATGTAGAATGCGTCAAGCTCAGGGAGAACAAACTCCACAAGGTCTTGTTGATAATATTCACCTCACAATGAGGAACATCAGAGGTTCAGCATCCTATTGGAGAAAATGTTGTTCCGAACTGATTGCAATGGTAAGAACTTTAGGGCCTCCTTCGTGGTTTTTAACTTTCTCGTGCAATGATTTACATTGGCCAGATATGATAAAAGCATTACTTATAGCAGATAATCGCAGTATTCATGAAATTGACGAAATTACATTTGAAATGAAGCTTAATTTAGTTCAAAAATATCCAATAGTAGTTTCCAGGCAATTTTTATTACGAATAAATGCGCTGATGAATTATATTAAACTAAACGATAACTGCTTAGGGGGTAAAGTTGTGGATTATTGGCACCGAATCGAGTTCCAAAATAGAGGTAGCCCACACCTTCATATGTTAGTATGGTGTGAGGGTCTTCCTGATTTTTCCACTCCAGAAGGTATTACAGTTATTGATAAAGTGATTTCTTGTTCTTTAAATCCAGATAACGATACATTGAAAGCATTGGTAGAGAACGTACAAATCCATAAGCACACTAGCACATGCTATAAGAACCGTACTAACCAATCCTGTCGATTTGGATTTCCAAGGGCACCTTGTGATAATACTCTTTGTTTAGGACCAGATGAAGCTTTAGCCAATAATGGGCGATTTTGTAACCTTAGACGAACAGCTGCAGAAGGTATGGTTAATAATTATAATGCAGATTTGTTAGGGCTATGGGAAGGCAACATTGACGTGCAACCTTGTGGAAATGTTACTGCTGTTTCCTATTACGTTGCGAAATACGTTAGCAAATGTGAACCACACGATAGTGGTGATGTAATACGTGAAACAATTACTAGGGCTAAGAGGCAAGGGGGTACAGTATGGCATCAGTTATTCAAGGTGGCTATGGCAATATTGTCACAACGTCTGGTAAGCGCACCTGAATGTGCTTTTAGATTATGTCATTTACCTCTTAAGATGAGTTCACGGAAGGCTGTGTTCGTTAACAGTTGCAAACCTAATGAAAGATTTAGGCTTTTACGAGTTGAAGGCAATGACTCATCAATTTATAACAACATTTTTGACCGCTATGTACAAAGACCCGATGATCTCGAAAACCTGAGTCTGGCTGAATTTGCTGTACGCTTTGAGACGGTTTCACATCCAGCGTGGAATGAAGAAGATGGCGACGAGGAATTGAGAGAAACGCATAGTGAGCCCCTGCGTTTTATTAAATTAAGAGACAACACTCGAATGCGCATTCGGAATAGGCTCGCAGTTCTTCGCACTAGATACTTTACTATAAATAGTGACAAAGAAAGCTATTATTATAGCTTACTTGTATGCCATCTACCTTTTCGAGACGAACATAGCCTTTTACTAGATAATGAAACTGCAGAGGCTTGTTTTTTGAGACGGCAAACTGAATTACGGCCTTTGCAAGCTAATGTTAGTTCCGAAGAATTTGCTCATGCCGAGCAAATAATACAACAAGCATTAGCTCAAGCAACTGCGTTAAATGCTGCTAGACAAACGCTTGCCATTGACAATGAACGGTTACTGTGTGCAGATGAAGAAGTAATTATTAACATTAATGACAATTGCGACGACAATGGTGAAAGAGTAATGATGCCTAATGACGTATTCATCAATACTATACGTGGACTTAATATACAGCAACAAAATTTGTTCCAAAAGGTTTCTGTTGCGGTTGAAGCTGATTTAAATGGCGCCGAAGATCAATTACTGCTTTTTATAACGGGAGGTGCTGGCAGTGGCAAGTCATACTTGTTAAAATTACTTGTAGAGCACATCGTACGTTGTTACGCCCCGACTGTTGACCCTCTGCTTAAACCGAAATTTGTGGAAGTAGCATCATTAACAGGGGTCGCTGCCCGACAAATATTTGGTAAAACTCTGCATTCTGTATTTATGCTTCCTATTGAGAAGGGCAATACCATGACCTATAAACGTTTAAGTGGAAATAAGTTAGAACAAGAAAGACGTAGATGGCGCTATATCAATTGGCTCATAATTGATGAAATTTCAATGGTGTCGTATGAAAACTTGCGGATCATACATTTACGTTTGCAAGAATACAAAAACAATGATAGGTTATTTGGTGGAGTCAACCTACTACTGTTTGGTGATATATTGCAACTGCCCCCCGTCAAAGGAAACTGGTGCTTTTTACAGCCATCCTGGTTTGCAGCTGAAATTAATTTATGGCATCAATTTTCGTTTTGTGAACTGACAATAAACATGCGCCAGCAAAATGATGCCGAATTCATCGACTTGCTAAATAACTTGCGGGTAGGAGAATTAACTACGAGTCAACTTGAATTGCTATGTGAACGACGCAGAATACCTTTGACGGGGGAGTTTGCTGACGGAGTTGCTGTGCGAATCTTCCCAACCGTTAAACAAGTGGACGACTATAACGATTTAATGACTGCAGAAAATTCGAAGCTGCATAAAGTCTACACCATAACTGCTGTAGACGAGTCTCGTGAAGTCGCCACTTATGGAAAGACGCCACCACCCAACGTGATACCGAGGGATGTTAATAACTGTGGCGGTTTGTTATCAACGCTAAAGTTAGGGAAAGAATCTCGCGTCATGCTAAGACGAAATATATCGGTTTCGGATGGTCTTGTAAATGGCGCAATGGGTATAATTAAACAATTTAAGTGGCCTGCTCTTCGGAGAGACCAAATTGAAGAAGGGGAATTACCGGAAAGTGTGTTAATTAAATTTGATGATGAAACGATTGGAAATAGAATTAAAGATGAAAATGGCTGGGTACCGATCACTCCTAATGTTGCAACATTTCAAGCGACTAAGGGATACGGAGATGTCGAGCGCCGAATGTTACCTTTGATTTTAAGTTGGGCAGTCACGGTTCACAAGTTACAGGGAACTACACTTGAAAAAGCTGTCATAGATCTAGGAAAGAAAAATTTTGCCAAAGGACAAGTGTATGTTGCCCTTAGTCGTGTTAAAACCTTGGAAGGAATAGTTGTATCTGACTTAGACGCAAATAAATTATTAAGTAGGCCACACGACGAAAGAGCATTGCTAGAGATGACGCGATTACGTAACTTAAATTCAGTCCCTTGATTTGTGACCAGTGATCAGTGAGTCTTTTGTATTCGGCCAGACCCTAACAGTCACAACCGATATAGGTGCTAAGTTCACATCAATATGAATTAATCAAGCCCAAACATAAGGTTATTACCCCAAATAGTCAAAAAGATCGCACGACTGTCTTCCGGCTCCATCATCAGATTTACTGCATATCTTTAGTTTTTTAATTTTATTTTATACTTTTTAGTTTAGTACTTTAAAATATTATATTATACACAACCCACATGGATGATGGTCCTCATCATTACAATTTATCAAACCCAAACACAAGGTAGCTACTGTTAACCGTTGAGGAGTTCTCTCAACTACCGTACTACTTCATCATCAGACCCTTATTGACAATTACACCTCACCTAGGTGTAAAGTCTTCATCAATACAAATTAATCAAACCCAAACACAAGGTAGCTACTGTTAACCGTTGAAGAGTTCGCTCAACTACCGTACTACTTCATCATCAGACCCTTATTGACAATTACACCCCACCTAGGTGTAAAGTCCTCATCAATACAAATTAATGAAACCCAAACACAAGGTAGCTACTATTAACCGTTGAGGAGTTCCCTCGACTGGCTCTCGGCTCCATCATCAGATCCACTCCAGACCTTTGTCAGATGGTAATGGTTTTTAATACTTAATAAAAAAAATAACAAATGCACTAGTCGCCCCTATAATTTTTAAAAGATCCCCTCGGTTTCCCTGGTCTTCCATCATCAGATCCTGATTTCCTTATCATGGGACCATTCTGGGACTATCTCCTTTCCAACAAAAAAAGAATTATCGAAATCGGTTTATAAATAACGGAGATATCGGCGAACAAACATAAAAAAAAAAAAAAAAAAAAGCATATATACGGTCGAATTGAGAACCTCCTCCTTTTTTGAAGTCGGTTAAAAAACGTTAACAAAAGTGCATAATGTGACACGTATTTACCAATTAATGTTATCTAAGTATAGGACAATACTCTATTTTAGAGTACGATTGGCAACCTAAGCAGAGTCTTCAAGTGGCCACCGGTGGCCGTTCCCCACTTACTCCATTATAGACCTTATTTCCGATGTGTAAATACTAATTTGGTTTGAACAAATGTTGTAGATTTTTCATAATCGAAGAAAATCTAAGTATTTTTTTAAGGGGGAAAATCATTGAATGTCTACTCCCGCCCGGGTGAAGCGGGAGGGAGTGTCAGACTCTTACTGACTAAAAACCACCCCGTTCCTTCTCCTGCACGTCGAGCCGGAGCCCCGGTTACCCGTTAGGTTCTCCTCGACAAAAATCAAAGTATAAAATTACAATTCAAAAAGCAAACAGGTATCTATTCGTGTATTAAAAACAACATCTTAATTATAATAAAATAAACTTTATACCTAATAGGTAAAGCAATAAACACTATTTTTCCTTATTTTGTACCTACTTAATTGTTAATATAATTGGTTGCTTATAATGTAGTTATGTAGGGATTATTTTATTTATCCTCATTGAGAACGAATTATGTGTCTTATGAACTTATCCTTTTATGTTTATCAAATTGGTACTTAATATTTGAGGAAATAACAATTTATTGAGGTCAATTTAATTAAATACAGTAATAACAGTTTACAACAGTAATCCTTACTAATATTATAAATCGGAAAGTGAGTTTGTTTGTTTGTTTGTTTGTTCCGCTTTCAAGCCGTAACCACTAAACCGATTGCTTTGAATTTTTGCAGACGTAAAGTTAGAAGTCCGGATTAAATAATAGGGTACTTTTTATCCCGGAAAAATTTGATATTCCCTAGGGAAAACAACAGTATTGGTATAGATGGCGCTGTGTGTATTGATATATGTCACATAGGCTACTTTTTATCCTTTTGTGACGCGAGCGAAGCCGCGGGTAAAAGCTAGATTGAGAATAATATAGCTGTTTAAACTATACTAGCTATTGTATTATTAGTATGGGAAAAGCCATGCTTCCGGCCAATGGGCCGCGCCGGCTCGACCGGAGTGATACCACGGCCGAATAGAAAACCGACGTGAAGGAACGCTTGCGTTACAAGTGCATTACCGGCCTTTGAGGATATTTAGTTTGAGGATCGTCGGGGATACAGGGATTGGGTAGATTGGGAAAGGGGAGGGGGGTAATTGGGCCTCCGGCCTCACTCACACGACGAAACACAACGCAAGCGTTGTTTCACGTCGGCCCGTGAAATCACTCCGATTTAGCTGGCCTATTCGTGCCGAAGCATGGCTCTCCTACATGATAGAACCAATATGGAGTTATGGAGTTACTTGCTCGTTCTTCGCCACTCGAATCGACATTTTGGAACGAGCACCTAGCTTCACTGACGGACAGACTGACAGACTATTATTTATTTCATATTTGTTGACGTTTCAAAAGTACCAAATTATGGTTTAATTGAAATAAATGCTTTTGAGTTTGAGTTTGAGTTTGAATAAACAATACTTCTACAATATTTTATTAATAGTTATTTACTACGTAATGGCGTCTGATATAAACTTTATAACAACACACATAAAATACTAAATCTTTTGTTGTCCGAAGCGTTGAAAATGCAACAAAAAAGGCAAAATAAAAACATGAGTGAACTTGAATGGCAATGCAAAGTCATTTTGTATCCTATACACTTGTAATAAGGTATTTAATCATTCATCGGACACGGAATTGGTATATCATTAACTGGTTTGCTGTTGTTGTGTTAAAACCTACGAACAGACTTTGCTTGCAATACCAAGATAATAAAAAAATTCGTTAGGTACTGTATGAAATCTAATTGCATGCCTTATCACCATAGAATAAGGTTCAAAGTGACTTTAAAGTACCTTTCAAGTACGAATTAATGTCGTTTCATTTTGTTATAGGTAATGAGTACCTACGTAATCTAAATGCCGTGTTATTGCTTCAAAGAAAACATAATAATGTCTACATGTAAGGTAAACGGCCCAGTAACCGTGAAGTTTTGAACTTCCCTGACTTTGCATGCGCGCTAGGCTGAAACAAGTAGACTTATGAAAATAAATTTTATATGACTAGTTAGATAATTTAGTATACTTTTAGTATATTATAATTCTATTAAACTTATGGAAATGTTAATTAACAATAAAACAAAAAAAATACAAAAAGGGCCAACTGTACCAGTATCCGGTAGAATTGTACTAGTTAACGTTTTATTGTCCCGAAATCCGGCAATTTTAAGTGCAAATTTGAACTCTATTGCTTTACGTTAAAGTTCACAGAAATAAAATATTTTTAAATAAAAATAGTAGTGAAAACAATCAGGGTCTGTATTTAACAAAAAAGGCATGAGTTGTTTTAATTTTTTTAATTAAAAAATTACATAAATTATTGGTTAACACTAGTAACATATTTTAATGGCATCTTCAGTAACCTTTGGTAAAAAAACATCACTAACTTAAATTTTTACATTTTAAAATAGAATTAATGGCTTCCTCAAGGTGTGCCATAATAAAATAGTCTTCCACTTCTTTATACCACGATCTTAAACGGCTCTCTTGAACTAAATCACGGGTTTACATTAGATTTTGGGCTACTCGCTGGCCTACTTCAGGGTGTCGCTTTATAATAAGGCTTCAAACCAGTGACGACCTGGTCTGCCATTTTTAAAAGGGTTTTTTCGCTTCAATTTTTTATAAAATACGCTATCTAACAACTGCGCCTTAGTAACAGGAAATCCACTATCTGCCATAAGAATTATCCATCTACTCAAATGATCTTCTTCTTCTTTTGATATAAAAATTGCGTTTAAAAAACCGACTTCAAAAAACCAAAAACTAATAACAAACAAAAAGTCAAAACTAAAAAGCAAAAAATAACGATTATTAGTATTGATAGGTTACCCACCCACTGATAGGTAAGAAGTCGGTGCCATAAGTTCCATACAAAATTATTGATTAAAACCTTAATAGGTACCTAATTCACAATTTTTTGGACATTAAGTTATATCATTATGATATGAGTTTGGAATATTCAATAGAATAGCGGCTGCGTATTTTGTCGTCCAACGATGACCGTGGAAGCTGAAATTGAGGCTCCTTTTCTAACTGCGTCCATGGCCTTTAATATGGCCTTTTGTTTCTTAGTCATGGCTACCTGAAAGAAAATTAACACGTTTTTTTGCAGAAATTAGCAAAATAGTAAAAATACGAACTTTCATACATATTTATTAAAAAATGTGTGGTAATTCAATTATTGTAAAATCAGGAGCACCGAGCTTTTTCTCGCTTTCCTCAATTTTAGCTGATACCAAACAGTAGCCATTTCCTGTAACTAAAGCGCAGATGTTGCATGGTGTTAAAAATAAAGCAATAAAACCCTGACAGACCAGGTTGTCACTGGTTTGAAGTAATCATACAGCAGCACACAGAAGCAAGCCGACAATTGGCCCAAAATTAAACACAAACCCATGCGTTAGTTCAAGAAATCCGGAGTACTTTATTATAAGACAACTCAGGCAAGCAAGCAGCTCGAAGCTTTTTACGGACACCAGAAGTCCAACTTGGAAAGGTATAGATCCCAGATAAATACGCAAATTAATTTACCTTTAGTCAGTTTCAATTATGGCTCAACGACTTTGAGACAATTTTTAGTTCCTATCAATGATTTTTTGTCACCTGGATAACTTCACAGGTCTGACTGACATCTTGCACCCAAATCTAAAGACACGGAGTTTAGTGACTTATGAATGAAAGTGAAAGTCATACAAGAAATATGGAAAAGTAGTGGCGTATGAAAATGTCGACAGGTGGAATTCCAAATAATGAGACATATTTATCTAACAAATTTTATCAACGATGACAAAACGTGTAGGTACTGAAAATTACACACAAGTTACCATTTGTCAAGACTCGAACTGCAAAGCATAATTAATTTATTACAATATTCAAGTAAATGAAATAACTAGAGCTTTTTCGCCCTTGCTACAATTTCAACTACTGTCAAGGAGTACCTACTATAAAACGGTGAACTTTGCATGACAAAATACAGGGCCACTGTTCTGTTGAACTCTAAAACCATGTTTAAATAATTGAATTACCATTGCCATTGTCTTCCGAAACAATTTTTTTTAATGTTGCCCAGTTGTCAATATTCCTATTAATATACTGAAATTGCGCCCCATAAATAAAAAAACTGGTTTTAGAGCAGCAAAGCTGTAACGCAAACTATACAAAATTAGGAAATCATTCAGAAAAAAACAACCAAATGCACGTGGTAACAAAACAAATAAGATGCCTACTAATTACATTCTATCGAGTTATCGGAAAATAATACTTATCTTAAGGCATTAAGGACCATGACGGATTTAAATGCAACTGTTAATGCATGTACTAGTATCCAGCAGAAAATATTTAATATAAACTAAAATTTCAAAGGAATATGAGACCTATTTCAAAGCAATAAGGATACAATACCGGGTTTCGGTGCAACGTATGTTACCGGGTTGATAGAGTACCAGTAACCGGTAAAAAAATAAACGAATTTACCGGGCACTAGGGCAAGTAGGGGTTTGTGAGTACCAATAAATGTAACATGCAAAAACTTTTACGATTCAATGAGATTTACCTTAATTTATAGGTTAAATCGTTAAATAATACACAAAACTTTTTATAAACATTAACACTCTTACCTTAATTTTATCCGTCGAAGTATGGCTAGATGATTTCTGCAACGGGGTGGTCTCGTAGTTCACTGACAGAACTTTGAACTTACAGACAATTTTATTATAACGTATTTTTAAGTTTGCACAGTTTTGACGCCATTAAACTTTTTGGTGAACGTTGCTATTAAAATTGTTTAAAATAGTACCAAGAATAAATTGGCATTTACAAACTCTAATTTGATTTTGGTTGAAAGACGTAAAAAATTAAAAACTGACTAGTTAACGGAAACTGGGACACTAACGGGAATACGTACTTCTACCTTAATAACCAATAATCTATACTAATATTATAAAGCTGAAGAGTTTGTTTGTTTGTTCCGCTTTCACGTCGTAACTACTAATCCGATTGCTTTAAATTTTTGCAGACCTAGAAGTCCGTATTAAATAATAGGGTACTTTCTATCACAGAAAAGTTCGATATTACTGAGGGAAAACAAAAGTATTGGTACAGATGGCGCTGTGTGTATTGGTATATGTCACATAGGCTACTTTTTATCCTTTTGTGACGCGAGCGAAGCCGCGGGTAAAAGCTAGTAACAAATAATCTATACTAATATTATAAAGCTGAAGAGTTTGTTTTTTTGTTTGTTTGTTTGAACGCGCTAATCTCCGAAACTACTGATTCGAATTGAATAATTATCTTTGTGTTGGATAGTCCATTTATCGAGGAAGGCTATAGGGTATAAAACATCTCGCTACGACCAATAGGAGCCGAGCAGAGCGGGTGAAACCGCGCGCAAGTAGCTAGTAATGCTAGTATAGTATATTTTCTGAAACAAATCGTCTCGCCCAATACAATAAAATACAAAAAACCTACATTGATTTTGTAAACAAAATTCATTTACACGCCAAACTTTTGTTTTCTAGGGGCCCCGATACCAGGGGCCCAGAAAATTTTAGTACGGCCCTGGATAAATAACGGGCCCATAAAAACGTATAACTGATTTGAATAAGTGTGACCTGACGCCGCGGAATTATATAGTTGTAGTTCTACGCTTATAATTAGGTAGTTTCCAGGGTATCAAAATTAAAAATCTAATTAGTCCGTCAGTTGGATAATGAAAAAATATTAGACACGTATTTTTCATTTTCTCGTATTTAGAAGCAATACTTGGATAAAATGGCGCTAAGTTTAGGAGTGGGGAGGTCGTTACGTCATAACGTGCTACAAAATATGGCACGCTGTGATGTCACACGATATTTCAAATTAATATATCGTCGAAAGTATTTAATTTTGTGAGAAAAGAAAAAATACTTGTCTAAAGTTTTAAATCAATGTACCAGACGGACATTAAAATAAAATTTAGGAAATTACCCTATTTGTTTAGAAATGGGTATTTCACATTGATCTTGGCCTGCGTATGGCATTTCCCTGTATGACAGGACACACCGAAAAAAAACATTAATATGTAAACGAGTTCATAAGAATAAATTATTAAAATTAATAATACTGATGACTGTTGATGAAGCGAATGACTCCGAATGAGGTATGTAAGAATCGTAGCAATTGGCGTTCCATAGTCTCTCCCTCCCCACACGGGAAACAGGCGCGAAGTTAAAAATTCATTCAAATTAGTTCAGCCGTTTAGGATAAATAACCTAGACACCGACTGCAGCGCCATCAGCCGGGCTGATTTGTGAATCTAAATTCTAAACCATCCAGGGCGCCACTCAAACGCATACAGAAAAATTCATTTAAATCGTTCAAACTGTTTTGGAGTTCAGTGACTTACACACGTACAGCAGAATTATATATAAAAAAGATATATGAACATAATTATGATTGATCTTACCTGGGGCTGATCAGGTTTGGGCAGGGGCTTCACAGGCTGGTCTGGGGGCCTCTTGTCGGGGACCAGGCAGCAGGTGTCAATGTACGATGCACAAGGGCCATCGCGCACACTACAGAAAAAAAATGTATAAGAAAATAACTCAAATGATGGATTTTTTATGGTATTGGGTGACATACGAGCAGATGAATGATCTGGTTGTGATCAGCGCCTATAGACTTTAGCAACACTAAATTCTCTGGTGTTAAAAGAAAGAAAAAATATTTGTTTCAATCTAACAAACAAGTGACATGTAGGGCCAAAACACATAACGGCATTGCGGTGCCGCGCCGGTAGAATCGACAGTAGCGTCACTGCCGATTTAAGCGGCGCGGCGCCGCAACGCAGCGCATAGCAGAGTAATATCTTCTTAATAACAAATAAAAAAATAAAAAATAAAAATAAAATAAAAAAAAAAGTTTATTTCAATTACAAAAGGCATTACATAAAATTATTGGAGATCACCTTTTAAGCAATGGATTGCTTGTGTTAGGAGACTCCGCACTTCCACATGACATTCTAAGTAATTGAAGTTACAATGAAGATAATGTAAACATGCAAGATTAACAATAAAACAAGAAGAAAATAAATCAAGTTAAACTTACAATTCTAATCGCAGAGACAATGAATGTTATTATGAAAATACCAGATCGCACAATGTATGTATGTGTAGTATGTCAATCATGTATAGTGAGTATGTGTATGAGTGATTGAGTGAGTAGGTGAGTGAAAGAGTGAGTGCAAATATGAGTGTAAGATTATCAGGAACTGTGTGAGTTGAGATATATGGTTTTCTTTTTTTTTTTTTTTTTTTTTTATCTGTTAATTAACCAGTTCACCAATTAGCCCTACGACAAAGTCTTGGGATGAAGGAATCCGAAAAGATTACCTTCACTAATTATATCTATGCACACCAGCCCAGTTTTTAATAATCCTGTTATTAAAGAGTGGTTATAACCGACTCAACCTCGTCATACGTCTTTGTTTTGAGCCAGTCCATTACAGCTTTTTTACAGTCCCAAAGTTTCATGGGATAGATTCGTAGTTCTTTGTTCAGCAAGTTGTATAAATAAGATGATTGCCTCGGGTATTGTCTTTTAGCAAAGGCAGATCTCACCCTAACAGTTGGGGCGACCAAATGGTCTCTTCGGTTTTTTGGCTTACAATGGTCGTATGGGAGAGTTATGTGTTTTTTCAGTATGAGTCGGAGTAAGTAAAGTTTTCTAACAGATAAAAGATCAGCTGATAAATAAAGGGCATGCGTAGGGTATCTATAGGGTTTAAAGAACATTACCTTAAGTAAGGCTCTTTGAGTCCTCTCAAGTTCCAAAAATTTCATTTTTGTTGTGCCTCCCCAGCAAGGCAAACAATACATGAGGATAGACTGCGCTAAAGACATATAAACTTGCTTCAGGAGTTGCCTTGAAGTCACATGTCGCAATGTTTTGAACAGCCATATAAGTTTCCTAACTCTATTCATAATAAGTTCGGTGTGCATGTGCCAAGATAAGCGCTGATCAATCATGATGCCAAGATATTTGGTGTGCTGCAACCTGTCTATTGGTAGACAGGAACAGTCTAGTGCTGGGAAGTTGTGGCAAATATGGGCTTTTATTTGGAAATCTTGAGGCGGTTGCGAATTATTTTATACTTAGTAAAGCAGATGTAGTTACATTTAGAAGCGTTTAGCGTTAGGAGGCTATGGTTTAGCCATGCTGCTATCTTCGCAAGACCATTCTCTGCCAACCCACGAACCTCATCCCAAGTCTTCGCAGTGAAGACGATGGCAGTGTCGTCAGCATAAGAGAAAATATGCCCTCCCTCAATCTTCATGTTACAGAGGCTATTGATGTAGATAAGGAACAAGGTCGGTCCAAGGACACTGCCCTGTGGAACGCCGAAGGTTACCGATGCCTCCGAACTAGAATATGAAGTGATTTTGACCTTATGTTTGCGATTGCTGAGGTAAGATGTAAACAGTTCAAGGGCATGTCCCCTTACACCTATGTGTTCAAGCCTCTGCAATAGAAGAGGTGTAGACACGGTGTCAAAAGCTTTCCTGAGATCAAGAAAAACCGCTAAACACCTGTCTCCCCGATCCACACCATCCACCAAAACAGATGTTAGTGATAAAACTGCATCCTCAGTAGACCTTCCCTGCCTGAACCCGTACTGAGAGGGTGAGAGTATTTTATATTTGTTTAAGAACTTCATCAGACGTGAGTTGATGATCTTTTCAAAGATTTTCGAAATGCATGGTAGCACTGAAATTGGTCTATAATTAGATGGGTCGGTTCTTTCGCCAGACTTGAATACTGGTGTTATTAGTGCAATTTTTAAAGCATCCGGGAAGATTCCATGCCTGAAGCATATGTTAATTAGGTGAGTCAAAATTGGTACAATTTGTATGTGTGCAGCTTTTATAAAGTTGACATGTATCTTGTCCCAGCCAGGGGCACTGTCTGATTTCAGGCTCATTAAAGTCGCTCGAATTTCGTCGTGGTCTGTATCAAGAAGAACAAATGATGTCAAAAGACTGTTAGAAGAAAATGAGTCAGTGTTATAACGTGTTGTTGTTGAAGATTGAGAGGTGATGATGCTTTCAGCAAGCAATTTGCCTATATTACAGAAATATTCGTTGATCTTTTCTACAGAGTTTTGTGGATCAGTGAGACTATGTAGTAGTTCCGAGTTATTGTCTTTTTTAGGTTTGCGTTGTGTGATGTCGTTAATTATAGCCCATGTTTTTTTGGGATTTTTAGATGCTTTAGTAAGTTGGTCTCTCTCATACTTACGTTTCTGTTTTCGAATGATAGTACAACAGTAATTTCGATATCTCTTGTATGTGATTTTCAACACTTCATTATAAGGATCAAGCCTAAGTCTCTTTTGCATGTGATTTCTATTATAGATGCAGCGCAGTAAACCAACGGTCATCCATGGTTTTAGGGTTCTATTTTTCAAAGGGATGCTCATAGTAGTTGTACTGAGTTCGACACAATTTTGTAGTATTTTGATTAAGTTATTTGTAATAGTGTTAGGGTTGTCAAGTTTCAATAAATCCGTTAAGTTGTAAACTGTTAGGTGTTCTAACCCAACCTCTAAATTAAAAACTTTCCTTATTTTCCGTTGCCTAATTAAGTTTTTATGACAAGTGATTTTTAAGAAAGTCATGAAATGATCCGTTATTGTAGTGTGAATAATTGCAACAGTTGGAGTTTGGCTACCTGGTTTCAGTTTTATTATAAAGTGATCAAGACAGGACTTTTCACGAGTGGGAAGCAGGTGACCGGGAAGTAGGCCATGCATTGCTAACATATTGAGATAGCTATGTCTGTTTGAACGCTCGCACGACTGCTCATTATCATTATATATTAAGTTAATATTTATATCTCCGGTTATTATTATGGTTTTAGTTGATGTAAGAGCAGTTAAGTAATCGTCCAAAGAGCTAATAAATTGGTCAGCATTCGAAGTCGATGGGGATCGATAAATCGCTACAACTATAATGTCAGGTGCAACATGTACCTCCAAACAAGACGCATGTATTAACTTCACTTCTCTTTTTGCCTTGTGTATACTTTTTATGTAAGCGACTACCCCATCCGCCTTATTCATGTGGTTTGTAGTTTGAAACGAAGTATAATTAGTAATTTGGGGTATTGGTTTATTTGAGTTCAGTCTGCATTCCGTTAAGGTTATGAGATCAATTCCCATACCAAGATTAAATAGGTTCAATTGGAGATCATCAAAGTTAGTATAAACAGATCTAATGTTCTGTGACACAATGGAAAAATCAGACGCGCCAACCTTAACCAACTTGGCAAAGTCAGTAATATTACAATCAAACACTTGAGCTATTTCGGAATTGTCGATGTCATCCAGAGCTTGTCGATTGGTATCCATTATGATAAAGATTATAAATAGTGGATAATATGATTAAATTCGTATTTGTATATCGTGTGAGAGTGAGAATGATTGTGTGTGTCTGTGTGAGTGTGTGTATTTCGTGTGAGTGAAAAGAGATATGCGTGATTCGAATGTTTAGGAGTTTGGTATTAGAATTGAAGGTAGTTTTACGCATTGAAGAATAAATGTTGTGGTGCGATCGGTAAACAAAACATAACACATTTTTGAAATTAGTGTCTAACTTGGTTATGATTAATTTTATAACTTTAAGAAATCTATGAAGGTATAAAATGTAGCTGATATATTGTAATTTTCTGAAAACTAGTCACTGGAGCTGTAAAAGGTTTTGTACCTGCTGTTCACTATTTATAACGATAGTAGGTGAATTGTCATCTTTCTTGATATAAACTTTCCCATAAGCTGTCCAGCAGTATTTATATTCTCTGGATTTAGCCAAATCACGTGCCAAGAAGTGCAGCCGCGCTCCTTTCGTAGTCATTTGCTCTGAGATATATATTGGGGTATCTTCATCCTTTTTAAATCCAAGGTGCTTTGTACATAATTTACCATTTTGTTTTCTATTGAAGTTTTTAGATGACTTCAAAAATTCCGACTTAAGTATAGTTGACTTAAGTTCAACTATAATAGTACTGTTTTTTGTGTTGTTTCGTTTAGGTCTTGCTCGATATATATCACCAATATCTGGTTTTGCAATGGTACAGCCCACCTCCTTAGATAAACAGAGTGTCATATTTATTAAGTCTTCTTTCGACTCTTTAGGTATTTTAGGGACATTTTTAATTTCAAAACTAGCTTTTCTCATACCTCTTTGCATATCCTCTATTTTTTCCTTCAAAATTGTGATATATTCTTCGTCTTTTTTAGATTTTTCTTCAAGAATTTGCACTTTGGACTTTAGTTCATCATTCTGCGCCGCCAAAAAAGTAATGGAAGATTCTATGTTGTTATTAGTGGATTTAATTTCCATTAAAGTTTGACAGATTTTTTTAATCTCTGCTTCTTGTGGCAACATCAAAGACGATATTAGTTCCTTAACTTCCTCCTTAAAAGCGTGAAAATCAGTATCAATAAATAAGCAATAAGTTTTTCGAGTGTGTCGTGAGAGTGTCGTGGTGGCCCGGAGGTTGAAGACACCTGCTTCTCATGCACGAGGGTGCAGGTTCGAAACTTACCAACGGCAATGTGACTTTTTCCGAGTTAAATGTACTTTCTAAGATTATTTAGACACCACTGACCAACGGTGAAGGAAAACATCGTGAGGAAACCTGGGCTTATAATTTCTAATTATAAGTTTGAAATCGCCAACCCGCATTGAGCAAGCGTGGTGATTATTGCTCTAACCTTCTCCATGTGAGAAGAGGTTTTGCTCAGCAGTGGGCATTTATAAGCTGTAGATGATGATGATGAATAAGTTTTTCACGATGGTCCATGGCAGAGACACGTCTATCCACAATAAAAAATCACGACGAACTGGTTACTCTACCGAACGACAATAAAACGCTCTTTCTCACGACGCCGCAAAGCCGCAACGCAAACTGCCGATTTTAGCGTTGCGGCGACGCAACGCGGTTATGTGTTTCGGCCCGTACAGATGTGGTATTCTATTAGTAGATACTGATGGATACATGTTCATGTCCCAAGTCTGCGGTGAAATGGGACTCAGTTCAGCATGTGCATGACAGGGTCTTACGCTGGTATTTTACTGGCCCCTTAAGTGACTCGCGGACGAACAAGCCACAAATTGTTGCAATGTGCGTAGCCATCTTTTTGGTAGTGGATTGGACGGATTAGGCCTGTGATAACCTCACTTACGCATGATCACGAAAGATTTATAAGCAGGAGCAGTATGAAAAACTGCTCCTACTGGAACCCCAGAACTCATGGTCTGAAGTCGCATCAACATTATACTTGACGAAAGTATCAAACTTCTATACCTAATCATGCCAAACATAAATACTATGGCAAATTGACTGACAACTTGACTGCACGGTTGGTGCGGTGGCTGGGCAACCGGCTGCCGTGCAACGTGTCGCGGGTTCGATTTCCGCACGGAACATCACCTTGTGTGATCCACAAATTGTTGTTTCGGGTCTGGGTGTAATGTGTATGTGAACTTGTATGTTTGTAAACGTACCCATGACACAGGAAATAATCCTAGTGTGGAGCAACATTTTTTTAAGAATAAAAAGAATAAATTAATAAATCCCACTTTAAAAACAGGTAATCCATACTCTTGCCTGCAGCGAACTGTCAAGGGGAGACAAGCTGATAATGATGAGGAAGATAACTTTTACTCACCGAATATCAATGACGCCGACTCCGTCCGTGATGACGGTGTTATTGTTTACGTTACAGAGATAGTAGCTGACGCACTCTCCCTCCTGTCCGTCAGGCAGCTTGCAGGACAGGTCCTCATCCTCGGCTGTGGACAAAATAATACTCAAGTTACATCTGAATTCATAACTATTGGTTTCCTTGAATCGCTTATATAATAAAAACCATTTCGTTCATTCATGATTCTCCGCCCCGCAAAAGTCTTGATATAATCCATCTAGTACCTCTGTGATCTGCCCAAATAACTAAACTGGATGGTTCATAATCACAACCACTCGGTAAGAACTGAGAAGAAAAAATCAAAAGATGTCCTCAAAACATGACATAGATATTTTTAATGAGCTATAGATTATCAAATCATACAAGGGGATGGATGACACCACGGTTAGTGATCAGCGCCACCCATGGACAGCCACAACACCAGATGAATTACAAGTCTGTTGCCGTCATTTAGGATTTGGATATTGGGATCGGAGAGGAATATTGGACCTCTGGTAACCTCACTAACACGGTGAAAAACAAAGCAAGTGTCGTTTCACATCAGGTTTCTGCGAGGCCGTGGTATCACTCCGGTCGAGCCGTCCCATTCGAGCCAAATCAATGGTTTTCCAGCATAAAAACAAAGTATATCGAAGCTTTCCAATCGCGTTAACGTTAAAAAACTCGCACTCAGTACACGATTCGAAGTAATCCGAAAGAATTTGAAGTATAAATGAAGTAGATAAGATCGAGACAAACAATAGAAGAAGTAGACATTTTGACATTTTTTTTATGTCATAAGCCGGTAAACCAGACGACGGATCACCTGATGGTAAGCAATCGGCATAGCCCATGGACACCTGGAACACCAGAGGCGTTACAGGTGGGTGCGTTACCGGCCTTTTGGGGATTAGGAGTTTGAGGATCGTTGGGGATTCAGGAATTGGGGAGATTGGGGAAGGAAAGGGTAACTGGGCTTCCGGTAACCTCACTCACACGACGTAACACAACGCAAGCGTTGCTTCACGTCGGTTTTCTGTGAGGCCGTGGTATCACTCCGGTCGAGCCGGCCCATTCTTGCCGAAGCATGGCTCTCCGACACTTAAAATTTTTGCTTATTGTGCCATTGTATGTATAAAGTCGTTATCCCAAAGCACTGTTATAGTAAACAGTAATGTCTAGACGCCACTGCCAAACACTGAAGGAAAACATTGCGAGGAAACCAGGCTTTTGTATTTTCCAAAGTTTGAAATTACCAACCCGCCTTGAGGAAACGTGGTGATTAATGCTCAAACTTTCTCCGTGTGAGAAGAGGCCTTTGGTCAGCAATGGCCATTAATTTAATGTGAAACTAAATTATGTCAAAGTTATAAAAAAGGTTCTAAGAAACACAATCGACACACATAAAGATGAACTCCATAAAACAGAAGCAAACCACACATTGTTGACAGAAGTACTTACGTTCGTCTTGTTTAAAGTAATCTTGTGTCAACAGAGCTGAACCTTTCGCTTCTACAATATGGATCTCATCAGTATCATCTACAACTCTGCATTGAACTTTGGAGCCTGAAATCAGGAAATTAGCGTGCATCGAGAGGGGTTTGTAAGAATAAGAATACGTTTGGCTGTAGTAAGAACTGCTTGATTATAATCGGCTGGAGTAGGAGGCTGGTTAAACGTAGAGAGCGCCCTAGGTAAGTTCATCATAAACGTCCCTAATTTCTTTTTTGCGCCGCTGTCAAGCTTTTTTTTATACTGCGACTGTGGCAAAATAGCACACGGCCCACCTGTAAGCGGTTACCGTGGCCTATGTACGCCTGCAACACTTGGGACGTTACATGCGTCTTGCCGACCCTTAAGAAACCTATTCACTCCTCTCTTGAAGAACCTCATGTTGTAGCCCATTGGGAAAACCACAGCAGGGAGTTCATTCCACAATCGGAGGGTCCGTGGGAGAAAATTCCTCTGAAACCGAACTGTACGGGACCATTTGGGCTCCAATGTGTGAGCGTGAACTGCCTGTCGATGGCGAGCGGTGCGATGATAGAAAATGGTAATGGGCACCATATCAAACAATTTCGCAGAACACAACCCATTATACAAGCTATGGGCACGCGCGTCTCTTGGCGCCCTACTGTAACCTGGCGCCCTAGACACTTGCTTTGTTTGGCTAATACAGCTCTGGCTGGATGTCTTTCAGCTGGTAATAATTTCTGTTTTTATATTTCACGAGCAGACGGATCATCTGATGCCATATTATGCGGTGATTGGCGCGTCTTAAGAACATATGCAAAACCAAAACATATTAAAAGTGCGTTGCCCGATTTTAAGGTATTTGAGGATTAGTTATAGGAGACGCTGGGAGAGTTTTACATCATACATAGTGATTCTGGTGATGAGGATAAGGGAAGGATTAGGCGTCCGATATGCTTACTCAAACGGCGAAACACGACGCGTGCGTTATTTCATGTTGGTTTTCTGTGAGGATTTGGTATTACTCTAATAATGATACACAATAAAATTGAAGGTACAAAGAGACGATGTAATCAAATAAAGGATAAGCCGTTAAATGGGCACCACGTGACCGAGCGGATCACCTGATGGTAAGCAATCGGTTCCGCCCATGGACACCTAAAACAACCGAGGCGTTACAAGTGCGTTACCGGCCTTTTGGGAATTGAGAATTTGAACATTATGGGGGATTCAGGGATACGGGGATAAGGAAAACTGGGGAGTGAGGAATAATTGTGCCTCCGGTAACCTCACTCACACGACGAAACACAGTGTGTGTGGTGTTCTGTGAGGCCTTGGCATCACTCCGGTCGAGCCGGCCCTTTAGCGCCGAAGCATGGCTCTCCCACACTTAAATATATGTACTTAGAGTATGGTTACCAGTCATATAAATAAAGAAACTAGATTCCTACCTCCTCCACTATGGTTCTGGATGGGTGGCACAATGGTAGAAGCTTGCGGTTTAGGAGTCTGGTTGTTATTGCTGGGTGGGGGCCCAAATATCTGGTTAAGCACGGAGTCCAAGTCCCCATTGCCTTGGCAGTAGGCTCCCACTACCAGCAGGAGGATGGGTAGAGCTTTGAACATCTGAAAAAAGAGATAATGTCTAAGTTTGGAGATTTTTGCGGTTGTATTAGGGTTCCGGATTGCTGGTAGAATTTGTTAGATAAGTGATATTTATCAGATTCTTGGCTCGAAGGGTTCCTTATAAGGACCTCCTTTATTGACCTTTTTTTGTCAATGTAATTGAACTCAACGAAAGAATGTAACCAAAAATTGTATTGTGAACCTGATTGAAAAAGAGTAACCTATGGAGTTTCTTGCTCGTTCTTCTCCATAGGAATCTACACTTTGGAACGAGCAAATAGCTTCACTAGAGGACTGACCTACAGACAGACTGACATTTTTTTTCTTATCCTTACTAATATTATAAATCTGAATCTGAAAGTGAGTTTGTTTGTTTGTTTGTTCCACTTTCAGAATTTTTGCAGACGTAAAGTTAGAAGACCTGATTAAATAATAGGGTACTTTTTATCCCGGAAAAATTTGATATTCTCTAAGGAAAACGAAATTATTGGTATAGATGGAGCTGTGTGTATTGGTATATGTCACATAGGCTAGGCTTTTTATCCTTTTTTGACGCGACCGAAGCCGCGGGTTAAAGCTAGTTATATAATATTTAAATATTTAGTTTTTGACATTAAAAAGTGTTTTCCTGGCCTGGTCTAATTGAAATACATGATTTTGGCTTAGTCATTTAGGCTTAGGTCCATCAATTAATATGGATTGAATGTTTGTGTCTTTTTATTTTTTTCCTTGCATAATTATATAAAAGCGGTTTATGACGTCAATATTATCGAATTACGTTGTTGACATTTTGTGAATAATAATTAATGCAATATTTATTTTAGTTTTATGGTGAATAGGCAGCCATGTTTTTTCGAAACTTTCTCGACGATTTTGGGATTTTTACGAATTGAAGTTCGGTTAGTCTCGCTTGAGAATGTGGAAAAAACGACGGGTTGCACTCTGGGAGTGCCGGCAGAAGTGAAAACTTAAGTATTAACGTTGTGCGTTTTGGATGGTTTGGAATGGTTATGGAATAATGTAAGTACTATCTTTTATGTGGTGTTACATCTTCTTTGGTGCGGTGGCTGGGCAAGTGGCTGCCGTGCAACGTGTCGCGGGTACCGCACGGAACAACTCTTTGTGTGATCCACAGATTGTTGTTCCGGGTCTGGGTGTCATGTGTATGTAAACTTGTATGTTTGTAAACGCACCCACGACACAGGAGAAAATTCTCGTTTGGGGCAACGCTTTTTAAAAAAAAGAAAATATTTTAATTTTTTGTTCAATTGTGTACTTGCCAACTAGTCAAATTCAATACTTTTTTCGAACTGTCAAAAACTACAGTTTTCTATGAATTTTGTACGAGTTTGTGTATTGTGACGTCACGTTTTTTTAGTGTCACACAGCGTACTTATTTCTTAAAATTTACAGGAAAAATACTAAAATTAAAATGGTCATAAAATCAATTAATGAAAGTGTGATTGTATTTTATTGTTTTATTGTATTGAACAGTCGTAATACTTATTTTTGATTAAGGAAAGTCTCTAATTTCATTTTGCTAAAAGTCAAGTACATTTGCTGCCTACCCCATCTATGTAAAAGACGTTATAGCATTTATTTATTATAATAAATAAACCTAATAACATAATGTCTAGTACCTAATTGGCTACTAGACAATAAACATATCGTCTTAACCGCTGCACAGCAAATAAAACAAAATAACAATTGGTTATGACATCATCAAGAAACTGGTTGATCAAGTTAAAAACTTTATATATAAGTAATTTCTATTCACTTGGCCTCGTTGGCCGAGTGGTCGCAAATGTGACAGTAGTAGCACGGAGTCTGAAATTGTGCCCGGTATATGGCAATAGGCTCACGCTCACCCCCTATTACATGGGACTCAATATAAATAGTGAAAAGTGGGTGTTACTAATGTAACACAGTACAGTGTCGTAATGTGCACCTCTACCTACTCCTTTGGTGATAAAGGTCGACCCGGGAATGGAACCCGAGACCCCTTGCCCGGCAGTCACACTTGCGACCACTCGCCAACGAGGCAGTCAGAATAAAATAACACATACATATGCACTTTTATTCAACGAAAACGCGAGCGAAATCGGTGGCAGAAGTTTGAACATACTATATATACATATAAATACATTTAATACACGCAACGATGCAGACCTGTCCACCCTTTACTTGGAAATCAGAATAATACACGAGTACACATAGTAATATATGCAATGAACGTATCCGGTATTTTTTTATAACATTAGCAGAATGAAGTTAAACACAATTACACATAATCTGCATATTTCCTTGTATTGCCAATTGATTATAAAGTATATAAATATAATTTTGTTTTGCGAAAACATGAGTAGATAAAAACCTATTTATTTAAACTGTCAAACACCAAGCTGTCACCGGTGACCGCAACCTATTGTTCTTTAATTGTGTCTATAATGACGGTGCTTGACGAGTTAATCTCCCGTTTTCCAGGTTTCTTTCATCGTTACCACAGCCCTGTCATAAGTTACCGAGGATCCGGCTCTATGCAGGAGTAGTAACGGGGTGGTTTTTAGTCTGACACTCCCCTTGGACTCCTCCCCTCACCCAAGGCGCGTCCAAGGTCACTCATTGCCAGCAGGATAGGCTTTTTTCTCTTCATTCTGAATCTTTGACTTTTTGAATACTCCTGTCTGTATCCAGACGTAGGTGATTCATATTTTACTGCCAAACTGGTTTTTTTTGCATCCCTCATCATCTGTTTTTGTGATTTTAAAAATCTCGCACCCGAAGCGTTTTTGAACGACTTTAATTCCGTTGAGGAGAAGAATTCCCTTAAGACAGCGAAATGCGAATTGCGTTACGTTGGATTGGTATCGACCAGATTTTGATTACCGTTACGTAAAAGCTCGATCTGTCGTCTAACTTATTTATTATTTGGTACATATTTTTACCTTTATCAAACCCTTAAAAGTCAGGAAGCTTTTCGGAAACTGGAGAACTTCGCTAGCGGAGGTGTTTCCTTCAACAGTTATCTAACCGCGATTAGAGTTTTTTTTTACAAACTTTTTGTTTCACCGGCCCCGGTGGTTAATCGACCTTTAATATAATCTGGCAATATTTCTTTTAAACTTCAGATTAATAACGAAATAGTTAGTGGGGTGGTGATCGGATGGTCTGATGGAGGTGGCTTGGCGGTTTAAGACGGCCGCTGGAAACCTACCAACGACAAGTACCAATGTGACTTTTTCCGAGTTATATGTACTTTTTAAGATTATCTAAACACCACTGACAAACGGTGAAGGAAAACATCGCGAGGAAACCTGGGCTTATAATTTTGCATTGAGCAAGCGTGGTGATTAATGCTCAAACCTTCTCCGTGTGAGAAGAGACTTTGCTCAGCCGTTACTGATGATAATGATGAATAGTTAAGTGTGCATTTTACAATTCTGCCATCAAAGTCATATACTAAAAACAAACCATTGAATCGTGATTCGTGTGGTCATTAGGTTCATCAGAATAAAGGAACGGATAGCCCAATATACTAAACTATAATAAATAAATAATGACGATGACGTGTACAATGAAGTGTCAACGGTCATTCGTTTCGGTCGGATTCCCTCCGACGAGTTATTAAGTGATAATGATCATCATGAATAATAAATCAATTGGATTTCCCCGCGACTAGCGATTTGTTCTTATATGAATGTCTTTAGTTTCTTGTTTAGTATGTTTGTAAATTAAACTTGTATTTGAAGTGTGGGAGAGCCATGCTTCGGCACGAATGGGCCGGCTCGACCGAGGTGATACCACGGCCGAGCAGAAAACCGACGTGAAGCAACGCTTGCGTTGTGTTTCGTCGTGTGAGTGGGGTTACCAGAGGCCCAGTTACCCCTCTCCCCAATCTCCCTAATTCCCAACAGCACTCAAATTCCTTATCCCCAAAAGGCCGGTAACGCATTTGTGTTACGCAACTCCTCTAGTTTTCCAAGTGTCCATGGGCGACGCCGATTCCGTACCATCAGGTGATCCGTCTGCTCGTTTACCGGCTAATTCCATGAAAAAATCAGTACCTATAATATTACTGCAATATGTAAAATTGGTATTTTAGTTATAACCGATTTAAAAAACGGAGTTTCTCAGTTCACTGCGTCGTTGGCCGAGTGGTCGCAATTGCGACTACCAGGCAAGGGGTCTCGGGTTTGATTCCCGCTTTCACGCCGTAACTATTAAACCGATTGCTCTGAAATTTTGCAGACGTAAAGTTAGAAGTCTGGTTAGAAATCGAGGGAAAACAAAAATACCTATTGGTATAGATGGCGCTGTGTGAATTGGTATAGATGATGAATTACCTACTTATTGGAAAAATCTAAATAGTGCGATGTAACCGAATTCCACGCGAGCGGAAAGCTATTTGTTTGTTTGCCTGTCTTAAACGGCAGAACGGAGGTACTAATTAACGTGATTTTTTAACTGAAGGTAGTTGAAGGGATGGATAGTCACATAGGCTACTTTTTATCCTTTTGTGACGCGAGCGTAGCCGTGGATAAAAGCTAGTAAGTTATAAATGCGTTCTACAAAACAAACACAAAGGGTACTATTTATGCCACGGGAATACAAGGAAAATAGTGGCAGACGTCAGTCGTATAAAACCTAAAAAATCAAGTCGGTTAAATGACTATATTATTATCTTATTTTAGCACTTACATTTTATAAACCAATGTTAGGCTCGACCGACACAGCGCAAAGCTTAAACTACACAAAAAAAAAAATAAAAAGAAAACTAACCACAGATTAAAAAAACACCAATAATTTGTAGACAATTAATGTCAAACTAAATAAGCAGTGTAATCGATTATGGTAATCGATTGTAATTCGATTAATAACGACAATAATCGAGAAGGAATTTACACTAATACAAATATTGTAGTTTTTATAAAAACTTAATGTAACAAGTTTATTGAAAGGGTAGGCAGAGTAATATAAATGTGGTTCTCACATTTCGCCGG